AATCCGACAGATTATTAATTCAACTATATTGCGAATATCGATGATGATATTATGATTGCACAAAAAACACTATGACAACTATATATATATATATATATATATATATATATATATATATATATATATATATATATATATATATATAGGATTAAGACTGTCAGAAATGCAATTAAATGCAATTATTGATGAAGATCACAGCATGTTTTGCGTTAGTTAACTTCGTATTTAACTTTTCAATTTTTCTAACGGTTAAACTTAAATCATTCTTAAGTTTTTTGAGTTCAAACCCAAAATTTTTGTCTATTTTATGCATGATAGAACAGAAAAGCTTTTTCGGTATTTCTATACCATATTCGGTGTTCAAATTGATATATTGCACTATTTTATATATATGTATATATATATATATATATACATATATATATATATTATTTTTACAATATTCTATAAATTGTACTGAATATATGTATGTATATATATATATATATATATATATATATATATATATATATATATGTTGGTAATAGACCATAATTTTTACAATATTCTATAAATTCTACCGAATGTTTGGCGTTAATATGTTTGTAGTTCGTTTTTTCGATTTTTCTCACTAAAGTTTTTTGGTGAACGTTTAGTTTATTAAAATTCAAAATAAACTTATTTTTCGAATTCATGCTGCAAATAAGGCCATATTTCGATTCCGAGTGAATCATCATCAGTGCTCCTTGCTGTATATATAGGGAAATATTGACTTTGTCAAGATGAACTTTGACGTTGTAAAAATTAACTTTGGCGTTGTAAAACTGAACTTTGATGCGAATTAGATGTCAGGTTTCTTAATTGGCTGGTCATCTTCTTTGGTCTCCTTTTCTTCATTGATAGCATCATATTCTTCTTTGTCACTATTTACGATGCTAAAAAAATACTAGCATATATATATATATATATATATATATATATAATGTCCCGCTTTTGAAAATTCAGATGCTGGCAAGTATGCATGCGTACAAGTGTTGTTAATTCCAAGCCAAGTCGGACCAACCGATGAAGACATTTCGGCTTGACGTGAAAATTTTTAAACCGCAAATAAACCGATGGTCGAAAAGTTAAATAAAAAATTAGTTCACATTTCAGCACTTCAGTATCTACTTCAGTTTAGCTAATTAATTTATTATTATTATTTAAACATAAATTAGTTTTATTGTCTCTGGTTGACTTAATTCTCTTTGTTTTGAGATTGTTTCCGGTGGTTATTATTTTCAAAAATTACCGTCATTGAACAAGATTTATCATTTAACGAATAAAAATAGAATTAATAGTTTCCTCATATTTTGAAATTGAATTCATCACCCATTCGTTTGTTAACCGTTAGTACTTAAATTGTTATTAAAACAAATTAAATCCATTAAATTTACTATGGCCTACCTCCGAGCTGTATATAAATAAATCATTATAAGCGAATTTGGACAATTATTTTTCTTCCATTAGTACGAGTCAAATTAAATCAAATGTTGCTGCGCTCGAAAAGGAAGTTGAATAGTCTTAAAAGCAGAGGTGATTTGGGTCCAAATACAAATACATATATAAATATTTATAATGTGTATATAATAAATATCAAGATACATATAAACATGCAAAATACATGCATGCATAAGTGCACCTCGACAGCTCCTGTATTTCACATGTGATGGAAATAAATTTACTGATGTGATTCCAACATTATGTTCTCTGAATTTCCTATACGTTTTGCAAACACCTGCCATAATATTCACACGCAGAAATAGGTACGAACAAATATTTACATAAGTTTCATATTGTTGTATCTTGGTTGTTAAACTCAACGTACATCAGCGTACGACTCATGCCGCCTCAACGCAAACATTGAAACATTTACTTTCTGTTTCATAGACACGAGAACACTGTTGCTACATTCATTAACGTTCATTCATCATATTAACATTTAATTTAAATGAACAGAAATAAATAGAAATTAATTTGTGAAAATAATAAATAATTAATGCTGGTGAGATTTGAGGCTGTTGTAATGGTGATAATGAAAATAATAAGAAGAGTAAGCTTATTATAAGAACACCTGCGAGCCAAATAGTTAGCATGCTGCATTAATTGCATCTAATCAAATTACTAATTATACGCTCAATTAATATTCCGTAATCCAGACTTCTAAAAAATATAATTAATGATGAACATAAAATAATGCAAAACAGCGATAATAATAATAATAAATAATTATTATTCTTTAAATTCATCAATCGCATGCACTCGTACGCGCCACTTTAAATAACTTTAACATTCCAATAGCGACATTTTCAGCATCAGTCAGTTAATATTACTTTCAAAGTTCCAATCTTCCACATTTAATCTAATCAAAACATCAGACGTCTTGTAAAGTTAATTAGCATTCATTCACTTTACATTCTCGTGTTCATCATTCGTCAAACACAGGGGGTGGTAAGCAGGCATGCATATGACCTCACACGATACTTCCCTCCACCTAATTATCTATTCCTCCAATAAATATTTATTTACCAGCCGCATATGAGCCAGTTTAAATATTTTAATTTTTTTATTTATCACTCCAAATGTATTCTGTGCATGACGCATTGTAAGTGTATCATGATCATTTAGTGTTGATGAAACTTCTAAATTTGCCAATGTAAATATGAAATAGGGCTGCACCAGAATTCGGCTCCGGCTAGACTTCGGCCATTTTTCCAAATCAGGCTCGGACTTTTGTTACATAATTTTCACTTTAACTTCACTTAAAATAAAACGCGGCATCCATCACAATATGAACATAAATTGTTGCAATGGCTATTGTTGCACGTATTTTCTTAGGTGCACTACCAACAAGTGTTCTCGGCGTTTGTTCTGTGTAGCAGGTGAGGTTATTAGTGACCATCGCAGTACATTGCCTCCAGGTTTATTTTCTTATAATATAATATTACACAGTGTTTTTTAGAAGATAAATATATGTAGCGATGAGCAATCATCTTTAATACTGAAAATAAATGCTAATTATGTGAATAAAATCACTAAATTTTTTCACTATGTTTTAAAACATGAAAATGAAGTAATTCTACTAAGAAAAACAATTATACTGACCTATTTTAAGTGTTTTTTAAAGAATTTTTTATTTAGTAGCGATAATAAGGTGAAATTATGATGCAAGAGTTGGAAATTTTTCACGACTCCAACACACTGATTTAAACACACATCAAATATATTAACAAATGTAAATGTACTCTTTAAAAAAAAATTAACACTTCAAATTTGTTAAAAGTGTGAAGACCGTAACTTCACATTTAATATTTATGTTTGTAAAATGATGAACTAGTATTAAATTGATGCGACAATTATAAAACAGTTGTACGTTACAGTGCAGACAAACCAGCAAAACATTCCAACATTGTACATTATATATAATGTACAACACGTTTGGTTCGACAATGTTCAAATTATTTATTCATCATGTCGATGAGGGTTCCTTTCGGTCGGGCTTTTTTCGCATCATCATCGGGCTGTTGGTGGGCGGTGGTTATCAAAATTATTCATAATATAATATATAATATAATATATAATATATTATATAATATAATATAGAAACAATACAATATTTTATACCACAAAATCAATTAGCGAAAAAAGTAAACGCAATAATGAACTTTGTAAAAAAAGTAAACGCATGCACGTCAGCAATGTTACAAATCACTGGCATGTCGTTTTCGTGCTTTCAAATTAAAGAAGTCTTGCACGGCGTTAGAGTCGTTAGAAAAATTAACTGCAACAACTAACTGCAAAGATTTTGCAGTTGCACTGTTTTGATTTAAAGATGATTTAAAGATGGATAGATGCATTGCATTGTTCTGCTGATGAATGAATAGACATATAAACGAAAAGATAGAAAGATTAATGGATGGATGGATGGATGTATGGATGGATGGATGTATGGATGGATGGATGGAGGTACCTGTTCTAGAAGTTTCCTCTTGTTGACGCCCTTCCTAAGTAATTGCTTTTCAATGACTCTGGCGTTGGCAGCGTAGGAATCTGCTATTTCTTTCTGGTAGATTCATTTTTTATGTTATTCTTTTTTATTTATTCATTCAATAGTCTGAACTACAGCGTAATGAAGACTAAAACTTTGACAATAAATTTCGGAAAAATAATTTGAAAGGTCCACCAAAACGTACCGAAAAATCACCGCCAAACTTATATCATAATCAACGTCATCATCATCATCATCATCCTCACCACTACCATTATCACTATCAGCATCATCATCATCATCATTGTTTTATAGACTATGACATGAAGTTAAACTTTAAAACTGGTAACAAATCCAACATATGAACATATATATACAGGTGTCAACAAAAAATTTGAAGGTAACAAATTACAATTGAAGTGAGGATGGATGATTGTGATGATGATGATGAGGATGATAAGTGTGATGATAGTGATGATGATGATGAGTATGATGATAGTGATGAGGATGATGACGACAATGACGATGAGTGAGGTGATAGTGATGATACCAACCGCTTCAATCTCGTCCTCCTCTTCATCCACAGTTGAGACAGTGACAGAACTGAACTTGCCCATGTTCTTCGTGTGCTTCGTGACCATGACCTTTGTGTGCAGATCAACAACACAAATGGATTCACATTTATGCTCGTTTTAATTATTAATTAAATTAAATAATTAATAAAAGAACAATTACAAGCTTATAAAAGTTGTATAATATGCGTTAAAAGTTTGATCTGTCGTTACCAAGAAAGTCATGCATTAGGAATGCATTAGGACCAACTTATTTGCAAACTTCCATGAAAGCTTTCTTCTGTTTCAGCAACATTTTATATAACTTATACTTTCAAATCCTCATATGGCGCTTTCCTTCAAGTCCTCACATAATGCAGTCCCTTCCCAACAACTACAACAACAACAACACAAGTTGACAACAACAAGCTAGTTTTAGGTTCACTGTTACTCATCTTACCTATCAAATCAATTACACCTATCTATCTATCTATCTATCTGCCTATCTATCTATCTGTCTGTCTATCTGCCTGCCTGTCTGTTTGTCTATCTATCCAATATCCATCCATCCACCATTCTATCTATTTATCATCCAATTCACAAACAAATAAAAAATTACTATGTTTACATTAATCTCATTAGCAAAGAATAGATACAACCATATACATTCAAAAAAAATCTTCCTACCTTTTTAGGCTGAGCGATTCTGCTGTAGACATCAGGTTTCAACGGGCCGTCATTTTGTGTCACTAGAGAGTTCTCCACTATGAACGTTATCTGCATGTTGGTGATGTTTAAATGTTGATGTCATCTGCATGATGGTAATGTTGATTTAATGGTGATGTCATCTGCATGATGGTGATGTTTATTTAATGGTGATGTCATCTGCATGATGGTGATGTTTATTTAATGTTGATGTCATCTGCATGATGGTGATGTTGATTTAATGTTGATGTCATCTGCCTGATGGTGATGTTGATTTAATGTTGATGTCATCTGCATGATAGTGATGTTTATTTAATGTTGGTGTCATCTGCATGATAGTGATGTTGATTTAATGTTGATGTCATCTGCCTGATGGTGATGTTGATTTAATGTTGATGTCATCTGCATGATAGTGATGTTTATTTAATGTTGGTGTCATCTGCATGATAGTGATGTTTATTTAATGTTGATGCCATCTGCATGATGGTGATGTTGATTTAATGTTGATGTCATCTGCATAACAATGTTGATCAAACGAAATAAAATGACTAATAGATAAATAGTAAGAAGACATTTATATTGAAATAATGGCATTAGAAATAAATAACGACCATCATAAAAAGAAGCAGCCAGCATTAAAATTGGAGCTCCAATGTTCCCAAGTTATTTTTTGTCCTTTAAGTAAAAATTCTAAACTGAAAAGCACAGAACTGTTCCTTGCTTGCTTACTTGACTACAATTAAACTTTTGAGCCACAAAAGTTGCGCATCCCCACTGCACTGAACCACACACGTCCACATCTTGTATGCAAACATAAGAACTGCATCACATGTGCAAAGCCTGGTGTTGTCTTTAAGTTTTGGTCAAAAAGAATATGAGCCAGGTTGCAGAGTGCTAAAATGATGAAAGGTATTAGGATCATTAAAATGATCAAAAACGAAATGGTGCATCTGCCATCTCAGCTAACTTACACTGGCTCTTCCCAAATTTGGAGATGTAGTAGATCCAAAGCAATTTGTAGACACAACTGCAGGATGTATCATTATATCTCATAAACTATCATTTGTTCTAACTGTTAGCAGGTGTATCATTAAATTTCATGAACTATCATTTGTCACACCTGTTAGCATTATAACCCTGGCTTGTCATTGTGTCATCAAATTCAGCAATGTTGATTCTACAGCTGAACTTTCATTATGACGTCATTAATGCTTATTACCATCAATGACGTCATTAATACATTGACCATTTTAAACATGATCAATGAAACCAAAATAATTTTAAAATATCGAATAATAGAAACTGACCTGGTTGTTGTCCTTGTGCCTGTAGAAGAGCCACAAACTGCACCTGGCAGGTTGCAACACATTTTTTAGCAATATTTACGGATCAAATATTTAAAAACCACATCACAGTACTTATTTATTGTTAATTTTTTTTACATTAAAGTTCAACGTCAACGTTGAATTAAATGCAGCAGCATAAAATTTAATCATCTAAGCAGATGAATGAAGGAGAAATAATGACGACCTACTTTTTACATTTGAATCGAAACTGCTTTTCTATTCCTGTCTCTCTGCAGATAATTCGATCATAAAAACATCAGCAACATTAAACCTTCAATCTTTCAAAATTTGCAAATAACAAAGAGCAACAAATAGTTGAGAACCTTCTTAGATGAACAACATCGTCGACATCGCAGGTGACCTTGTGAGCGTGCTTTGATGAGTCAATGACTCTGGCTCCGTCGTACTTTCTTAACGGCAATTTCTCGATTGGACAGTCTGGAAAAAGTTATCAAAAAGTCAAAGGTTATTCATGGAAATGCTATATTTATAGGATGCAAATATATTACAATGTTAACAATTGTCACCACTCCATGACTAAATTTTAATTTATACAAAATTCAAATTATCTATTTATCATTCAAATTACTATTTAAATAATAAATAAGTCAATTGGTTTTAAAAATATACAAACGTACAATCAGTTTTGGGCCAGTGGGTTGTTAAGAGATGAATACATGATAGATTTTTAATTGATTTATTTATTTTCAACTATGCTTTCTATTTCAAAGAAAAGTTTATTTTATGAGAATAAATAAATCATTCAACAATATAATCTTTAAAGATAATTGAAATTCTCTTGCTCTATAGTTCTATACATATTCTAAGATAGCCAATACAATACAAAGAGAACCCCTGGACCTAGTTAGACAACTACAAATTTCTGTATATTTATTATTATAAGAATGAATAATAAATGCCATTTGCATTTGCAATTGGTGAAATCTATCAAATCACAGTTTTTAGACATTCCATTAATGAATATGTTTTAACTTTTGAATTTTTAACTAATAAGATAAAATTTGAATCATTTTACAAACCCAAAGCCAAAGAAATAGATAGGTTAGTAATCTTAATTCTTAACCTTAAGGTGGATCTCCAAACTTAATTATTTTCTAAGTCTTATTTTTATTATAATTATATAATCAACACAAAAGTCCATAGCTGAGGTAAAAAGTTGTTGAAAATTAAAATTCTATGCATAAACATAATAAAAATATAAACTATGTCACTACATTAGATTAACATTTTAATTAAAATTAATTAAAAGAATGAATATAACTTTGAAGTTGAACATTAATTAGTTACTACAACATACATACAGTCATACACAAGTTCATTTGGTAACCAAAAATAACAGAACATCTGTAAAAGGTGAACGGCAAAGGCTTGCTTATAGACTTTCTTAACGACAATGTAAGTAAAGTAATAAACAGTAAATTGAGTAAAGTAAAGAAGACTACAGTAAATTCACCTAAAATTAGTGACATTTGTCCGCATATGCAGTAATAAACATTCAAAGGTTTCTCTCCCTGGTACTCCTCCTGGTCCTTAACGTCCGTACAGACGACACTTCTGGACACAACTTTAGGCATTATTACGAATTTAATAAATTTTAAAATCACACGAATTCCTTACGACAAATAAACTAAATAAAAGTTTTTATTATAAAAGTAAACCTAAACCAAAAATAAATTAATAATGACAAATATTTTTTTCATAGTTTAATAAAAATTTTTACACATTGAGTTGACTTAAATAAATAAAATTAGTTTTTATTAGAAAAAATAATTATTTTTTAAACATTTAATAGATTAACTTTTAAATTCAAGTTGTGTTTGACAGAGTGCGGACGTGTGTTGGTAATGTTTGAATTGGTTACGTTAGCGTATTAATTATATTACTGAAAAAAAATTAGTTAAATAAAATCTGGCAGAAGGTAAGATGTTAACTGTCACACAAGTGCTGTCAGGTGCATTCACGGCATATATATTCTATTCAGTATGGTCACTTTACGTGATGTATGCACCATCGAGCTGTCAGCAGTCCTCTGAAACCTACTGCCTGGCATCCTACCTGGAAAGAAACCCACTCCTTCCCTTACAGGTAATTTATTCGTTATTAATTATGTTGTTATCATGTTCAACAGTATCAAATGTTGTTGAACAGCCATTTTTTAGTTTGTACTTTTGATCCATTAGGAAAGGGATAATGATTATGAATCAATATTTCATAATCATTTGATAAATATTCTTTAGAAAACACAGTTCTGAGTTTTAAGATCTTTCATTATGATTATATTTTGAAAAGATTTTAAGAATTTTTGTAACTATTATCAAGTCAATCTTTATTTACCTCATCAATTTGAAAGGAAATAAAGGAAAAGCCATGATAAAGCTCATGAGCTTATAATTAAATTATTAACTTGATACATCATATATATTAAAAATAAACTTTAAATATTAGCTAACAGTCCACACATCTACAAATGAAAGGTTCTCAAAATCAACAAAAATATGGACCAGTAAAAGTTTTTATGCTGATGATGAATTTGAAGAGTTAGTGTTTTATTTCCATGCCATCATCTTTTTTGGTTACTTTAATTAAATTCAACTGTTGTTTTCATTAAAAATCTCAGTTGATACAGTATTTGAAATGTTCTACATCCATGAATTTATTTACATGTATATATATATATATATATATATATATATATATATATATATATATATATATATATCAATATTCTAATGTGCATGTATGAACTCAGTTACATCTATTACCATTGAAATGTTCCCTCATTCAACTTCATTCATCTCATCCCTCATTCAGATTGGTGGAAGTCAACGTTCCTAGTATAACTCGCCACAATGGAAGTTTGTATGCGATGGTGCTGCTCAATGAGCTGACCAGTGACAGCTTGAAGGACTGGACAATGAAGCAAATTTGCAGGTTGACTACTTTTGCTGTTCCTCAGGCATCAACGTTCAACTTGATTGGGAACAGTACTGAGGTGAGTTCAACTCTTTTTTTTATTTCTTTGTCTATTTTCATTAAATGATAGAAAAAAGTGATGATGATAATGATGATGATGATGATGATGATGGCGATGATGATGAATAGATGAATGATGTAGTGAGATGGAAATGACAACCATATGTGGGGCATTCTTGAAGATTTGTATATTTGATCTTTTAAAACTATCACTTATTGAATGTAAATTTCAAACTAGACAAAGAATATTTCAAAAGTTCCAGAAACACATTGGAATTCCAAGCTGCTGATAAATATTGTTAATGACAAAATATCTCTGAACCGTTACAACCTGCCTGCCGAGATTGCAAGTTACATGATGTCAGTTCCTTAGAGCTCATTATTTTATATCAAGTTGAACGTAACTAGTGTAAAGAATGTATCATTTTGAAATGGAATTAATACTGTTGCCAAATTGACTTTAAACTATGCTATGGCTTTCAATTTTTCATCTGAAGTTAATTGAATGTTAATAAACTTATTTGAAGGTTGTATAATAACAAGGAGTACCTACCCATTCTGTTCATTGACGAAATGGCCATCAGATTGAAAGATCTCGTGGTCAGACATCATTTTTTGTTAGATTTTTTTAAGTTTCATAAATTTAGTTTTCAGTTTTATACTTGTCAATATTTTACTTATTGGCAGCCACTGAATGCCTCATCGAGTCAGATGCCGTTGAGAATTATATACAAGCCGATGAGCATTGGCAAGTTGAGACTCTGGGTGAACATGAAGCATTCACTTTTGTTCTTCAACCAGCTAGGTCTGCTTGTCATCATCATTCTCACTCTCTTCATCATTCACTTACCACATCACTCTATGGTGACATGGTCACTCATTCATTAGATCACTCACTAATTAGATTACTCACTAATTAATGATTTTCGCATGATATTATTTCAATCATTATTGCTATTTAATTTCTTGTTATTATGATTTTGTTTAATGCAAAAATTCGTTTTTATTATCATTTGACAACTTTTAAATAGATTATGGATATATTTATAAATAAGTGAATAGATCACAAATTTTATTGACTTACCAAAATTCTGACTATTTCTTCATTTCTTTTCACACTCATTCTGCTACAAATTGAACTTTTTTTCAAAAACATATAGCGATAATGTCCAACTTTCAAGGTTTTTGAAAAACTAATTAAAATTTTTAACTAAATAATGATAAATAATGTTTTTAAACATTTATTATTGGCGTATCAGTCAGTAACAATACTTTAAATGTTGTTGTTTAAATATTTTAAATGCTGATATAACATATCACGACGTCAGGATTCTCAGAGAAGGACATAGATGAAGTGAAAAACATCTTCGTCGACACCAACCTCTACCTACTGCTGCTCACCTTCTTTGTGTCTGCATTCCATGTTTGTAACTCATGTCCATTCACATTATATTCATTTCATCTCATCAATGGTCCATGTATATTTTTATATGTATGTATGTATGTATATATATATATATATATATATATATATGTGTGTGTGTGTGTGTGTGTGTGTGTGTGTGTGTGTGTGTGTGTGTGTTAAACATAATTTTATAAATACGTATGTACACGTAATTGCATGCATCTAAAGCCATGGATATCTCCAATTGTTTCAGTTATTATTTGACTTCCTGGCATTCAAGAATGACATAAACTTTTGGAGGAACAGAAAAGACATGGTTGGACTTTCATCCAGGACAAGTCATTTCTTTCTTATCTTTATTCATTCCAACTCATTTAAATTGTTGGCTTATTGTTAATTAATCAATTGTTTGTTTGTTTGTTTTAGTGCTGTGGAGGTGTTTTAGCACCTTCATAATCTTCTTCTACCTCCTCGACCAACAGACCAGTCTGCTGGTACTTGGACCTTCAGGCATTGGACTCATCATTGAAGTACTCTCACTCGTTCATTCATTCATACATACATACAGTCGTTCATACATTCTATAATTCATTCGATCATTCATTCATTCATCCATCCATTCAATCATTCGTTTGTTCATTCATCCTTCGATTTAATCATTTTTTGTTCGTTTGTTTGTTCATTCGTTTGTTCATTCATCCTGTCTGTCGATCAATCGTTCATTTATTTCGTGCTCTCATTCATTCGTTGTAGTCTTACCATTATGATCGTTATTCACCGTATGACTATTATAATTTCATTCTGTATGCCATCTTACATGACTGATTGATGACGGGATTGTTTTACTGTTATCATCATTGATCGTAACATTGCTGTTGATATTAAACATTTTGTTGTTAACATTTTCAATCATGTGTTGTATAAACTGTTGTTACTCTTGTTATTATTTTATTTATTTATTTATTTATTATTATTATTACTATATTGCTGTTGTTGTCATTAATCGTTCATGTTTATTGCGTGGTTACTTGTTAAGAATTTGCCCCATGTTAATGATTTGGTTAACGTTTATAACAGTAAGTTATTTAGTGGTGAGCATCATCCCAATGTTTCACCTTTAGGTATGGAAGACTACAAAAGCATTCAAAATTAAGGTAAAGTGGAACTCATATATTCCAACATTAGAGGTGATCATTTGTGTGTGTGTGTGTGTGTATATATATTATTTATGGTCTTTATATATATATATATATATATATATATATATATATATATATATATATATATATATATATATATATATATATATATATATATATATATATGTTGGTAATAGACCATAATTTTTACAATATTCTATAAATTCTACCGAATGTTTGGCGTTAATATGTTTGTAGTTCGTTTTTTAGATTTTTTTCACTAAAGTTTTTTGGTGAACGTTTAGTTTATTAAAATTCAAAATAAACTTATTTTTCGAATTCATGCTGCAAATAAGGCCATATTTCGATTCCGAATGAATCATCGTCAGTGCTCCTTGCTGTATATAAAGGGAAATGTTATTGACTTTGTCAAGATTAACTTTGACGTTGTAAAAATTAACTTTGGTGTTGTAAAATTGAACTTTGATGCGAATTAGGTGTCAGGTTTCTTAATTGGCTGGTCATCTTCTCAGGTTTCTTAATTAGGAAACCTGACACCTAATTCGCATCAAAGTTCACATATTTTCGACAACAGCGGTAAACATTGGATGCACTTCTTACTTTCCATAGGTTTTGAGGTAGAAGATAAGAGCTTTTCTTGATTTTGTGAAAACTTTTAGGCAGATTACTAAGACTTGTATCTGAATCACCATTTATTAATGAAAGTAATACTTTTTCTAGCATTTTAGATTGGATGTTATCAGTATCACTCTTTTGGCGGTTAATTGCTGATGCATAGTTCCGAGCTAACTTTTTTTTAAATTTTTTGCCTGATTGCGATCAATACCACTGAATACCATGTTTTGTTTAACGTTAACTAAATATTAAAAAAAAAAATAAACGGATTTTCAAAAAAAAAATTATATATGTATTTCTCGCCAAAAACTGGTTTTTAGAATAAATGACATAATTTAAATACCAAAATCAGCCTGTGCTTGTTAAATTCCGTCTGTTAAATAAAACAAATTCCATCAATGTCAACTTTGACGCTCCACCCATCAAAGGTCCGATTCTAGACATTACTGTAAAGGAGCTTACAGAAGCTCTGAAAGCTATGAAGGATGGAAAGGCAGCAGGTCCCTCTGGACTCACAAATGACATTATCAAAGCATCTGGTACTGCATGCATCCAAACGTTACTACAACTTTGCCGTGAAATCTGGAGAAATTGCTCAATGCCGACTGAATGGAACTATAGCATGACAGTTTTGCTATAAAAAGGCAAAGGTGATCCATTGAACTGTTCATCATATCGGGGTATACGTCTGTTAGAACACTCCCTGAAAATTGTCGAGAAAATCATTGAGAGAAGATTAACGTCGTGCATCACAATCGGAAATTATCAATTTGGTTTCCTATCGGGGAAATCAACAATTGATGCAATTCACATCCTTCGGCAACTGCAAGAGAAGTACCTCGCAAAGCATCAACAACTATCACACATTTTCGTAGACCTTGAAAAAGCATTTGATCGAGTTCCCCGTGAAGCAATCAGGTTGAGTCTACGTCGACAACTCATTCCAGAATATCTTGTTTGACCTGTGATGGAAATGTATCGAATACTAAGACTCTCGTCAGCACAGCGGTTTGAAACACAGATGAATTCGATATCGGCGTTGGAGTTTACCAAGGCTTTATTCTCAGTCCACTGTTATTTATAACTGTGATGGAAGAAATCACAAAGCCGATACGCACTGGTGACATTTAGAATCTAATATATGTTGATGATATTGTTTTAACAGCCACGTCTGAGCAGAATGCAGCACAGATGTTTGAAGATTGGAACACCAGACTGGCCGATCATGGATTCAAAGTCAACATCAGCAAACCAAAGCATTGAACACTGGTGAACCAATTTGATCCACAGCTACTGGACGATGGCCCTGTTCAGTTTGTAAAGCTGGTGTAGGTAACAATTCAATCAAGTGTCAGCAACGTCCTACCTCGAGAGAACTGGGCCTCTGGACGCTAAACGATGATTGATTGATTGAAAATCAGCCTGTGTTTCACCAAATACCAAGCGACGACCAAGATACCATAGCAACAAAGCGTTGTTTTTTTTAAATGTGACGGCACGTTGTTTTAGATAAACGCTTTTTGAATGGTCATATTTCCATTTTCAACTTCATTGGCTTTGCGCGGGCTCTTCCACTCGAAATAATTCTATAATATTTTAGATGGTTCATTATGATTTAATATAATTTCGCTATTAGAATTCATTTACTACAAAAAATTTTTTTGACCCACCCTAATATATATATGTATATATATATATATATATATATACCATGTGTTATGATGTTTGTTGTGATTATGTATGTTGTTTTCGTTACGATTTTGGAAGTCTTCACCATGCATATGCCTGAAATTGTTGCTAACAAGACTTTTTTGCTATTTTAAAATATGACCTATTCAATTGATTTTTTAATATTTTTGTTTAAAAATATTAATTAATTGATTTAAGTTTGGTCATTCTAAAAAGAACGAAGAGGAGACTGAAGCCTTTGATGCACAGGTGTGTCCGTCATTGTTCCATTCATTCATTCATCTCACTTTTGTTTCATTAATTGGTAATTTATTTGAAACTCTTGTTCAGTCCAACGACCATTATCACTATTATATTACTTTTTAATTTTATAAAGTCAAATTAAACATTTTTTATACATTATATAATTAGCTTTCCTTACTATTGTTATTGTTGTTTAACTATATCACCATTATTATTTTTGTTGTTTATCGTTGTTGTCGTTATTAATTACTGTAGGCCTGGTTTACACTTACTGTCAATGTGTTCCTTTAAGTTGGTGTTATTATTGTTGGTGATTGTTGGTTTGATGGGAGCAAATAACAAACAAACGAACAAACGATGTTATTGTTGAAGGCGATGAAGTGGCTGTCCTACCTTCTCTATCCTCTCGTGCTCTGTGGGGCTGTCTACTCATTGCTCTACACGCCACATAAGAGGTTCTGATCTTTGCAGCAGTTACTTTCTTTTGCAGATGAAATCAATTCGGTGTTGATAGTTTATATGAAATTCATTATATAACATTGAATACTATTTAATCTTGACGCATGGTACAAACAGTTGGTACTCATGGACCATTGAAAGCATGGCCAACGGTTGGTTTAACTATTTCTTCTATTGATTAATAGATGTAAGTTTTATATGACTAAGTTATCTATTACCTTCACCTGTTTAGTTAAAGGTTTATAGTTTATCGTGTATAGTTTCTTGACTCTCAGCGATAAAAATAATATTAATTAAAAATAATATGATAATAAAAATATATTTATAGGGGTGTATGCATTTGGATTCATCTTTATGTTACCGCAGTTGTTTATAAATTACAAGGTTGGGTTTATTAAGCTAGTTATTTTTATTAATTAGTTTTTTATTTATTATATTTTCATTATTATATCGTTTTCTTGTTTTATAATATTTAACATTTCTGCATTATAAAATTCAGTTAAAATCCGTGGCTCATCTACCATGGAAGGCATTCACTTACAAGGTGCGTGTGCATTGAATTGAATGCTTATATTTGATAGATAGATAAGATATTGGCTCTGTTGCTAACAAGTTAAAATTAATGAGTTAATTTAAGAGTATTTCATTACATGTTACGAATATGATGTAGAATCTAATTGCTTAACTAGATTAAAAATAAAAATGAGTGTTTCATAAAAACATGTTTTTATTTTGGATATAATTACACGTTTTACTTTTTTGAGTTTAGATGCGGTGGACGCAAAAAATGAACGTTAACTGAAACAATGTTTGATGGCATTGCTAGTTTTATTTGCGCTGTGTTGTTGGTCACTGGATGAAGAATATTTAAAAAAAATTATCTAATTCATGGTTGTGATTTTGTGTGATTGATTTTGCATTACTTAGTAGCCGCTGTTTTTTGGCAATTACAATTATTTTTTAACTTAACAAAACGATAATAGCAGGGCGGTTTTAGTACAGGAATCTCATTAGATTGGTTCTTTCTTATTAGTGCTAATTTTTGTATTCTGTCGGTAATCACCCACAAAATGCCATCAATTTATACAGTCACTTAGTTATGCAACTGACAGTGCTTGGTGTACGGTATTTCTGATTCATTAAAATTTATGACCGTGTGTCGGAGTAAATAAGGAGATGACAACTGTAATCATTTAATTTTTTCTCCAGGCATTCAACACTTTTATTGATGACGTTTTTGCTTTCATCATCACAATGCCGACCACTCATCGATTAGCTTGCTTTCGTGATGATGTGGTGTTTGTGATCTATCTCTACCAGCGATGGTCGGTTCAAAAATTGAAATTTCTATTATTTCATTGTCTAAATAATAAATTTTTATGTCCCAACCTGTTTTTAACAACCAGTTTTTTAAATAAGTAGTTAAGAAAATGGTAGAAAATGTTTTTTATATTAAGAATTACTTTGAAACGCACTCACAATTTATTAAAAAATTAATTAGAAAGTGGTCCACATGGAGTTTTTACATTTATTTTACTTTTAAATCTTTTATAATTTGTTACTGCTAAAAATTTGACGAACCTTAAAATTGGAAGTGGCATGCTTTTAGTAGGACAAAAGTCGTGTGAAGCAGGCAAAGATAAAGCATTAGGTAGAAATCAGTAAATTGTCATGGCGAAGGTGCAGGTTTGATTTTTTGTCATGCACTATTAGAAAGAATGGTAATATGGAGGTTTATTTATTTTTGGTATAAGAAACAGCAAAATGAGTTTAAGAAACAGTTTTTGGGGAAAAGGATTTTTATATTATTCGAGGACGTGTGGAGTGAGGGAGGTGATGGAGTTTTGAAGAGTGGAAAAATAACTTAAAAAAATACTGAAAATGTACTTCAATACCAGTTTTCAAAGAATCTCTAAATCGGAAAATAAACACTGCGAGAAGCCGCATGCTGTTTGGATGCCAAAGTTGAACCAGACCAGGCCTATAGAAAACATAAGAAAAGTAGAGAGAAAAAGTGCAAATAATAATAACTCAAATTGAGCTATTTTTAAGGACGAATTTGACAAGGAGAAAACAAAGAAATTTTTTGGGCAGATGATCTGTTGAACGCGGATAAAATCAATAACTGATATAGTTCAAACTTATAAAAAAAAGCTGTCGAAGTTGAAAAAGTGAACTTTCAAAGTTAAAAAATGTAAAAGGTCTATTACACTATTCCTGGGTTCAGATGAATCAATAACACACAATAACAGCGTATATGAATACGAGCTAACCGACGATACACGAAGCATGTAATGGGCGGGTATATTTTTGTTATATTCGACCCCGTCACTGCACGCACCGCAAAATAGCACAAGGCGACCTTAACAAAAAGCAAAATATTCACATAAGTATATAAGCGGGGCGGTAAATTTATTTTCCGATTTCAAAATACTTATGAAAATTTCTTGGTGTTATCATCGTTATCGTGATATTGCCCCTTGATCTTTGGTGTAGGTTTTACGATAATGTAAAATATTGTTTTATAAAAGTTTTGACTTGAGATTTTCATTAAACTTTAAATCACGATATCATCGTGTCACAAAATCTACTGTTATAATAAATTTAAAAATTGTTTCTTCCTAGGCTGTACCCAGTTGATAAAAAACGAGTGAATGAATTTGGTCAGTCGTTCGACGGCGACACTGCGGCTGAAACGAAATCGCCGACTAAGGAATCAAATGACAATCCACCAAGAAACGCGAAAAGAATTAAAAAAGAAAACTAAATATTAAAAACGAATTAATTATTTGTCGGTGAAATTACATTGTCATTTAATTCTCCTTTGTAATGTTCTTGTAAAATACGTTGAATTATATGTTAGGCTATCTGTTTCAACTGATGTTCGTTGAGCATTAATTTATTACTTTTACTTTTATTTGTTCTTATTTATTTATAATTTTAAATGTTGTGCCGGTTCCTTGCTAAATGAAAATTTTCAGTTTAAACGTGTCATTCACGCCGCAATTAAATGCTCGAAATCTCTTTTGGAACATGCATTAACATGAACTACCTCTTCAGTTAAACTTTAGGCCACGACATCACATTTGTCATTTTCCTTTGCTGCCAAGTGTTTGAGCCGCCTATTATACGAACACAGACTTGATTTGGCATGCCTTTGTGATAAGTTACTCTCTATGAATTGTTGCAATGAGCAAACATCGTTACAAGATCACATGTCAACATTTTAATAAAAATTTTATGAGCCTAGCCCGGCTTCTTGTTCAGCCTTACTTCAGTTAAAACAGCATCAGTCCAATACGCTTTCTTCTGTAGGTTCCAAACATCCCAACTCTGTCTAAGGTAAAAATGCTGACGAAAGACCAGGTTTGAAATGTTTATTTGCAACTGAACACATTAAAATATATACATTTGAACAGTACAGGAAGTACACTTAATAACAAACATGCGGTTGGTACATGACAATTGGGCGCTACTTTCTATAACTAAGAAATAAATAAAGTATTAATAATTATAACTGATTATGCATGTGAATCAGAGGTGGGCAAACTTTTTTACCGAGGGCTACATCAAAAAAAGTGGTGGGTTTTGGAGGGCCGCATAAGTTATAAAAAAAACTCCATATTTTCACATTATTTTCAAAAAACAAATTATATGCAATTACTAGCTATTTTTTTTTATCAATTTCTTTAGATATGAAACCTAACCAGCTAGTTGTTAAAGCCATCAAATTGCATTAATTCAGCACTGACTTTCCAAACATATTCAAGCAAAATCTGTTAGTTCAAAAAAGCATTAAACCTCAAATAATGGAAGAAGTTTAAATTTTTTTAAATAAACTCAGACAAGGAAAAATCAATAAAATGACAGAAGTACAATAATCTTTGTTCAAACTTTTTCTAAATTCAGGTTTCCAATTAAATATTTGAATCAAAATGTAAAAAAAACAGCACAGTCGGTAGTAGCGAGGTGTCTCGCACTGCTATTACGCGATGCTATGGTTCGAGTACTGTCCACTGAAACTCAAAGACCTTCATACACTTATGATGTGGTGTGGCGCGAGCATACACATGTATGTGCATCGTGTGGCGTGGATAGTACAGCCTTTGTGTCACGAAGGTTTTAATTACAAGTATAAAATGCCAAACGCAGAGCTGCATCATAAATGAAAAAATACAACAAAATTTTGCACAAACGTTCGCGGGCCACAAAAATGACCTGGCGGGCCGCATGCGATGTTCATTAAGCGGCAGTCTGCTCACCTCTGATATCAACAAGTAATCCAAATTATGCGCCATCTTCGTTATCGTTATATTAGCATTTGATCAAACAATCCGGGATTATATTACACTTTTCGAAAACATACAAAGCAAATTTTAAAAAGTTCCAGATCATGATTGTATTGTCTCAAACCTTTTTATAACTCTTAATTTAGTGAGTGCGGTTTCAGCAAATGTACAAACAGTTGAAAAACTTCCAGCCCGTGCATCCAAACATTTGAAATCTTGCTTTTTAGCGGTCACATTTTTACGAGCTGGGTTGTTTCATCAATGATCATATGACAAACAGGCGAGTTTGCATGGATCCATGACAGTTTCACGATCACACCAGCCAAACAATTATTAAATTGATACAGATACAATTTATTTAAGTTATGTATATATGAAAATCATATGAACAATAATAAATATACTTGTATTGTATGGTTTGTAGTGATAATTTCAATCATATCATACCTAAATTTGCATGATCATATGTATGTATATATATACGCAAATAAATAAATTTGAATGCAATCTAAATAATATCTAAACTCAAATAATTATAAATGCCATATATATATATACACGCACACACACACAACCCGAGATAGATACAACTACAAATGAACATAACTATGCATGTGCATGTAGTGCAACAATCCAAGCACTTATAAGCTGGTGGCTTGAAAAACAATTAATGAAATTAAATATGCATTGAATTTAAAATTGAAATATCAAAATCGTAAAAAATAAATTTAAAAAATTTTCATTTGTCCTCAGAACAGAACATATAAAAAATAAGTTTCATAATAATGTTATAATCAGAAATAGTCCAGTTGTTTGCGTTATTTGATGAAGATTTTTTACACAGTTGCCAGACTTATTCGTCATCCTGTTAACATAATGAACTGTATAAAAATAATCAACCCTCATTATTAGAAAAAAAAAATCAATAAGCAAAAGTGAATAACATCTGACTTGCAGATTCAACCTAGTCCAAATTTATTTGAACCATGCAATTTTGACAAATGCGAAAAAATGGTGGTGTTGGATATTGCGCATAAATGCTCATTGAACATTTTATGCATTGGATCACAAAATTTTGATATGACACCAGTCTCTCGTTCATAAGAATGACGAAGCAAGCAGACGAGCAAAAAGGGACGTAACAGTAGAAACAAATTTATAATTTTGAAAAATTAAAAAATTAGTATAACTGAAGTCTGAAGTAGCATGAATGTCGGGAAAACATTTTGTATCAAACCAGTAGAATCAGAGGGGAACAACAAAAAATAAGATATTGAATTTTTTGTTGAAAATTAATGACCTCATTTGATCAGATTACAAGGTGTGGATCAGAATCCTAATGCAAGACTTGTTTGGAGTTATTAATTGTCAATGATAATAAAAGTGCTTACAACATACATTGTGAACATTTTTAAAAGTTTACTTTTGTTGCATTATCTTTGTGCATCTTATGTGGAGCTCTCAGTCAGCAAACATATTTCCAGCTGATGTGTCATTGTGTTAAGAACCATATGTTATAAATTTGAAACTGAAACAAAAATTCACAATGATGATTATCAATAAAAATGAACAAGACGACAAATGAGGTTCCCTAAAAAAAAAGGATACAACTCTGAGCCCCCTCTCTATGGGGTCCACCAGCAACAGGCCCCGAGGTATGTACACCGAGTTGTTCTGCTCTTGAATGTAGCGATTTATTTTCTTTAAAACCTTCCAATTTTAAATGTCATTTTTAATAATTATATCCATGAAAGCATTTATTAATGTACTCATTAGGCTAAATGATTAAGATGAATCAAATTACTTTTTCATAGTGTGTGTCCATGCAGAGAAAGACGAGGTATGCAGTCAGGCAGGCCAAACAATTCTCACAGTAAGTTTTGGCACTCAATGCTTCAGCCTCGGCATACATGTTGTTTAGTTCATTTATCGTCGATTCAAAGGAATTTCTATCGATCTGTATAATCAAAGGTAGCATAGTTTCACAGGAAGAACAGAATTTTGTTGTATGAGTGGATATTATCAATAAAGAGCAGTGCAATGCATTATTGTTCTGGCAAAGACTGGCATGGTTATACAATTAGTTGCATGATGTACATTCATTTTATTCATTCAAATTTATTATGGCATTAATATATTTCTTAATTTATTAACAATATTTTAATAAAGAACAAAAAATAATCTATTAATATTTGCAACCTTTCCTTCCAGTTCTTGTGGATATTTTGTTTGAAACTTGACAGCAGTGCCATCGCAATAATCTCTCTGAACAAAAATCTTCACACATTGTGTCGAAGTCATGATTAGATTTCTATGGACTGACTATAATGAAGCAAAGATGTGTGTGTGCGTGTGTGCACTCTCTGCACCTCAATGAAATTTTCTGGTTGACTTAATAGATTTGAAAAAATATTTAATTATAAATGACAGCTAACATAATATAATAAATACATCATCAAATACAAAAAATGTACACATCAGAGTTTCTTCTCAAAATAAAAATGTAAAAATATTATTTTTTGTGATATTAACTCAAACTTAATATTTAGATGGATTTAATTTGCGGATCACTTTAAAAATTACAATTAATCATATTTAGTTTTAACAGGGGAAACTCATATATAATAAATATTTTTCCATTTACCAGTATAAGTTGGCTCATAAAGTGGAGAATTCAGGTTTATATTTTTGAAAAAAAAATTTAGATTTAGAGTTTTTAGTTAAACACTTGGAATTAGTACATGTGTTCAATTTCAGTTCAACGTTAAAAAAAATTTTTTAATCTGTTGCTGGCATTGATTAAATTAATTAAAGTAACAAGTGATTGATCACTGAGTTTTTTGGGGTTGATCTTGATTTAATTTTAAATTAAATATCTCTTAAAAGTTTAATTTTAATTTACTCATTTATTTATCATTTAACTTTTTAATTTATTTATCATTTATTTTTAAACTTAAAAAAGTTAAACTATATTTTAATTAATTTAATTAAATTCATTAAATTATTGGAAACAAATAAAATAATAAATCAATAAAATAATAAATAAATTATAATTAATAACAATTTCCTTCTGCTCTATTCTCTCTTCACTAAAGAACTAAACTAGCTTCCATCTATTCTAATCTAATGTAATGTAATTCTACCTATCCCAGTTGCAAGAAACTAATTGGGTATCTGCCAAAGCAAGCTGAACTGACAAAAACATGAAAAGTTGTCAACAAGCATTTAAAAAAAAATAATAATCGAATTATCAGCGCTCGTTAATTTTAATTATTTTTAATCAAATTAAGATTAACAATTTTTTAAATCATATTTTGAGTCGAAAAGACCAAACTGTTGATTGACTTTGTTAATTTAGTATTTTAAGAATTAAAAATCTACAAAACTCCTAAAATTATAATTAATGTTTTTGTTACCAAAAATTACAAATTGAAGTAAGCAACAATTTTCAATGGTAGGAGTATTAAATTTATAAATTAATTTTCAAAAATAAATATTTAGAAATTAATTGATAAAAACATTCAATCATAGAATTTAAGAACTGAAAGTGTTTTATCGTATTTTTTTATTTTAAACTTTGATGGAGCAGCATTGACGCCACACATTTATACTTTGGACGGGGAGCCTCCAAATGGCATATGAATAATGACCATTGAGTGACACGCAAAAGCTAAAAATAGGATACAATCATGCCAGCGTTATTAGTCTAAGTTTTAGTTCAAGTTCCATAGTTCAATTCCTTTTAATAAAGTTCCACGTATTAAGCAAGGTTTGCTTGATTTTTTATTTGGTTGGCGAATGTTGCGAGCCGCGAATGGCTTCATAAGGCGGTGGTAAATCGTCGAAAGCAGTACTTGGTAGTGTGTTGGGGACGGTAGCAGGTAACGTTGGTGGTAATGGTGATGATGGCTGGACTATGAGACCAGTCTGCAGATTTGTGAAGGTCAGAGGTTGTTGAATAAGGCGATGTTGTTGGCACTGTTGGTTGCGGTAATGGTAGTATTGTATGCGGCGATAATTCTCTTGTGCCCGACCGACCAAGGTTGTTGCTTGTGGCAGACATGATTCAGGGTAACTTCTGGTTCGACCTGTATCGTAAGCATCTTGAAAAATTTAAGTGGTTAATTATTACTATTATAATGTACGTTGCTTGTCGAGAAAAACTGAGAAAAAATATGATTCAAGTGTTAATCAAAAGTTGATGACATCGTTGAAAAGTTTCTTATTGCAACAAGTTCGAAGACTTCAAAATTATTTGATTTTTTTCATTTTACTTATATAACAAACCGAAAGGAAACTTACCAGTGATTTCGATGGATACCATACCTTCGTTGCGGTCATTATTGAAACCTCTAAAAATTGCCCGGAAGTCTTCGTCCACTGTTGTCTGTTGATGATGACGGCGGTAGTAATGACGAATTATGATTATGAAATAGGATTTATATTTTTTAACAATTGTTTTTTGTTGTTGTTTTTGTTGATATCGGGTAGTGGCCAACACCAAAATTGTTTACTTATTATATTAACATTATTAGTTATATTAATATTATGCGTTAATATTAATAGTTCCCTCACTAAAGTTCTTCCATATTGAATTATATTTCATTATTTTGAACAGAAGCCAAAAACACACCTTCAAACTTCATGCTTGGAAACAAACCTCATGTGTGAAAAAAACTTCGTTCATGGATACAAAATTCATTTATGGATACATAAAACTCATGTATCAATACAACCCTCATGTATAAATGGATACAATCCTCGTGTATGGATACAATCTTCGCGTATGGATACAATTCTTGTGTATGGATACACCTCATGTATGGATACAATCCTCGTGTATGGATGGATACAATCCTCGTGTATAAATACATACTACAAGCCAATTGAATACATTAACACATGTCGGCATTTGCTCTTTGTTTTTAATGTAATTTGACAAAAAGCAGGGATGCTGACGAATCGTTCCATATCGTAGCTACAGTTAAACTTTGTACCACAGAGGCTGAACATCCATGAAGCACACAGAAACAACCTACACACAAAATTGTTTGCACGAACAAAAACTAACTGTCTGGACAGCGAACATCAGCGAGAGTATGACCCCGATAACAGAGGTTAAAAATTCTAGAAGCACCAGAGCCATCATCAGGACAGTATCAATCGGATCGGGATGAAGAGAGGAAGAGGAAGAAGAGAAAAATGGTGGTGATGATGATGATGATGATGGCGTTGGTTGCATCGGTTGACCAGGTGGAAGAAAATTCAAACCAGCCAGCTGTCGGTTCAAGCAATGTTTACTGCATTACATCATGTTAAAAATTTGTGATCAACTTCATAATCATCGGCATCAGCCAACATTCTTCATCACTATTGCCTACATTTTCATCACCATCACCTATATTATCTTCATGATCATCTCTCCTATATTTTCATCATAATCATCACTACCAACAGCACCGACCAGGATAAGTTTCTGGAAAAAGACGATGAGTGAGAGGACGCCACTGAGGAAGCAGGCCATGGCGTAGAGGAGGGCCTGTTTGTTCGTGCAGGGCATAAACAAATTAAATTATTATCATCCATTTCAATCAAAAATTAGGAAATTGAATTATTAATTTTTATTAAAATTATTTCCGTCTGCGTCAGATTACAAAGCACAAATGGTTTGAGATAAAACAGAACATCAATGACAAACTAATAAATCATGAAACTCACCATGTGCTTCTCATTTTTCTTCATCAGTACCAAACCTGACACAAAAGACGTCAGCAGGAACTTTGCGCGTGATTTATTAAGTGAATATACATTTTGAATATTTTATATTGAATGAGCAATAATTCTGATGTTCTAAATTCATTTGTTTATAAGAGTATTTATTAATTTTTATGTATAATTAAATTTTTATGTATTTTTAAAGCATAATTTTTACATATTTTACGTTATGAAATTAAAAAGATGTGGTTCGTCGTAAATTATGGAAGCAAAAGAATGTAACTAACGTAAAAACCTGGCCAAATATCGGACGATCTCTCGAGATCAGCCATGTGCTTGAGCTTGCTTGCACCGAACGTACTCAGCCTGCCACTACTTGTGCTGGCGTTGTACACAGCGGTGCTCACGTTCGTGTAATCATTTGAATAATCATTGTTCTGACCAACGCTACTTCGAAAGTGAGAAGTGGTCGAAGAGGGTAGACTTTGATGGTAATTCCAGAGACTGTGGTTTTTCAGATAATTACTTAGGCTTCCTTTTGATACTTTCTGCGCCATGTGTATTGCAAATACTAAGTAAACACTGCCAATCGAAAAGTGAATAACGCCACTCATCAGTAAATCTTTTCTTCTCACTACTTGTCTCAAGCCGCCAAAAAAACTTGGCACGTTGAACAAACGCGTCGATCTTAGAGGAGGCATCTCGGAATTTTAAGTTTTGTATTCAACTCGCCAGTTTTGTACGTTAAGCGTGCACGATACCCACTTGCTCCCTGATGTTTTCAATTCAAAGTTTTGCTCCTTTTAAATGTATAAAATTTTTTACACTTTTTACAAAATTTTCATAGAATATGAACTTTAGACTGAAAAAGTGAATGTAGAATTCCGAGCACTGTATGGACGGATTAGCTTTCACTCGCAAATGCTCAAACGACGCAATGTTTGTGAGCGTGTATTATATAAAAGTTTTAAAGATTTTTTTAGTGTTTACAAATAAATGCCTAATGCGTCACCGTATGTTCATTTCAAAATTATCGACGAACTCGATAATAAGATGGAAAATTTAATTTGTCCGAGTAACGCGATGAAACGCCACCTAACAGTTTATCAATAAACTAAATTTGCTTGCAAAATAAAATAATTAATCAACATTGAGTTGACTAATGCAGCATGCGCTTACACAACTTGTTAATTGTGGTCAAAAACGTGTGCGCATTTCCATGAGATGCATGCAAGCTACCTCACATACAACAATCCTTACATGAGTACATTAAGAGTAAATCTTTATATTATTATTCTACACACATATATACAGAAAACAATATATATACTATAATAATATGAACTGTAAAGATGAAGTGACTGTCAAAACCGACTTAAGTCGATAGGCAGCTTATTCCAAATACCTGGAGCTGTGGCCTATGAAATGAGATTCAGTAGCAGAGACTTTCGAGAAATTTGCTGACGACCCACGGAGTAATTTAGTGTGTTTGATAAGACAAGACATAAGGTTATTTGACCTCTTTCAACATATATATTAATATAAACAAATAAATATATATATAAACATCTTGTGCTATATGTACATATAGGGGAGTGACACCTCAGAAACCATAAGGTATAAATCGTACGATGTATCGATCAGTCCAATTTTTGAAAATCACTATTTTTAGACATTAAACTATTTGCCAGCCTTTTTGTTGTCACAGGATTGGTTTATTTTATAAAGAAATCTATTTATATTTGTATGATTATTTTCTAAAAAAACAGCTTAGCAAATTTGATTTTGAAATGAATGAAGAACAAGCTTCCATGAACATTAAAAAAATAACAGGAAAAATATGCAAAGACTATTAAATTTGACAGACTCAAAAAATCCAATGATAACAACACAAAATTATTTTAAACATAAAATTAAAAAATGCAAAACGTTTCTTGTAAAAACTAATTCCTGGCACCACCATAGTCACTGAATCTTGTTCAGCTTCATGTGCTCCAACTGATTCAAAAGTGATGAATGTAGCAACTTCAATTCTTCCTACGGAAATAAAAGCCATTAATAAATTAATCCATATCCATTTATATAAAGTATAACTGTATCAACGAATTCACCAAACAGAAATTAATAGTTCATTTGATTATCATGTTTTAAGCGATTACTGTTGGCCCGGTAAATACATCTGTTAAATCATACTAAATTATTCTAATTTGAACCCAGGGCTTAGAATCTAGATATTTTATGGAAATACAATGTAAAGTTAAACGAAAGCAAATTAAAAATGTTTTCACCGGTGAACAATTATAAAATCAACAACGACATTAAAATAGTCACAATTAGAAAGGAATTAAATTCAAATTTAAATAAACAAATGTGAGTTATTGCATTTTTAATGCTTGTTTCATAAAATTACTGACTGACGTTAGCAATGTAATAATGTGAACGAGAGTGCAGTTTTCAGCAGAGAACTATCAATATTTTACTGCAGACATTTGAAAAGGGGTCAGCGAGCTTAAGTTTTCAATCAAAATGTTTGAAACAAGAATTATTTATCTATCTAGGTAAAGCGCAACACAAAAATCACTAAAAAACTTGCACCATAATCGGTTGATAAATCAATTAATTTTTGGCATATTAACATTAGCATATTTTTGTACATTTAAACTATATTTTACGGCCATTCATTCGTCACTTCACACAAGTAAGCTGCAAATGCATTTGCAATATTGACTACTAATATTACACTATCTTCTAATAACGTACAAAACAATTACGTTTTCAGTCATGAGCTTTCCATATTCATTCATCATTGAACTATTCATTGGTGCTTCTTTGTCCCCTTGTCCTATTTGTCCAAGCAATTCAACTCTATATGGTTTTTAAAATATTATAACAATATAATATGAGATGAACAATATATTGTAAAAGAAATTTTAAAAAGCGGTAATTATAATTATATATTTTGGTAAATTTTTTGGTAAACGTTCACCAAAAAACTTTAGTGAGAAAAATCGAAAAAACGAACTACAAACATATTAACGCCAAACATTCGGTAGAATTTATAGAATATATATATATATATATATATATATATATATATGATCATCGTAAATCATTTCAAGTTTTTTGGGTTCAAAACAAAAATTTTTATTTATATCATGCATGATAGAACAATAAAGCTTTTTTCGGTATTTCTATACTATCTTCGGTGTTAAAATTGATATGTTGTGTATGCGCCCAGATGCGTGTGTGTCGCTACTCTACTTTGTGGATTCATTGTTTGTTAAAAGTGAATACTTAACCTTATTTAATTAGTTTTACAATCTTCAACTTCGTTTAATATAACACTTTAACGTGTTTTCGTTATCGATAATTCCTCTGTTTCTAAATTTATTAGTGGGAAGAATTCCAATTGCCCGTTGTTGAATATTTATTATCGGATGTCTTTGTTCTATGAGTATTGATTCGGCTAGTCGTAAATTATAATGGTTAACATTGTAATGTAAGATTTGTCTAGCAATTCTAGTTTTGTGTTTCTCTTTCATGTGATTTTTTATAGGGCTAGTTTGTACGTGCATCATCGTCATACGAATAAATTCAGATTTATGGTGCCCACACTCACCAATATTACATTTGAACAAATATATTAGATGGCTATGATCCATTATCGATCCCGGTTTACTAGTGCAGTTGTTTTTCATCACAAGAGATGACGACACAATATGTTCTATAAGTATTGATTCGGCTAGTCGTAAACTATTATATAATGGTTGTTAGTGTAATGTAAGATTTCAGCATTGTGGTCCATGATTTGAACTCAAGAAACTTGAAAATTATTTACGATCAATCGTTAGAAAAATTATTACGATCTTTAACTTTGAGCACTATGATTCTTTTACGAGTCACCATTATCAATGTTTCTAAATTGATTAGTGGGAAGGATTTCAAGTGTTGTCATTAAGTCGGTGAAAGTGCTAGTACGGTGCTAATAAGTGAAAGTGTTTAGGTTTTTGCGCAATGACCTGATTCGAATATTGTCCGTCTGAAGCTTAATGACTATCATAACGCCGTGCGCGTACGTGTGTGTGTGTACATAGTGTAGTGCTGATGCTGAAGGCTTTGTGGCACCTACAAAAACATCCTTAACAACAACAACAACCTGAGTAAAACATCTTTAACCACCACCCAACAAAAACATCAACTAACTTTCTTTGATGGAGTTGTGTCATTTCAATTTGCATCCTTTTATAGTGATTCAGCAACTGTTTATAAATATATTTGTATAATATTAATATTTGAATATTCTGTAATTGCATAATGTATAAAAGGTTTTTGGTGGGCAACGTTGAATTCGTGCTGTAAAATAAAAGTAAAATACAAAAGTAACTGGACCGTAAATAGTGATAATAATATTAATTTCAATTTATAAAAACAGTTATATTCACTAGCATGGTAATTGAACTTCATTGCAAAAATAATAAAAAAGTTAGTTTTTCAATTTTGTGAAGATGTTCAATCAATCTGTTTTTCATGATAATTACACCTTTTTCTTTATTTCTGGATTTTTTGCAAAGGTAAAAAAATCAGGTCATCCCATTTATTACTCAACTTTCTTTTCTTATATCCTTACAATTCTGAGAATCAGAAAGCTTCGTGACAAATTTTCAATGATAACATTACACAAACCCATTGCAGTCTTACAAAAGCTTAACATACAATAACATTCAAATCATGCCACTGATATATAATTTAGTAGTTAAGAACATTATTCAGTGAAAGAACATTATTTGGTAAAATAATTTAAAATGAATATTTTATAACAAGACGACAGTTTGAAATGCAGCAATCCAGCTAAATCAATTAATAAAATGTATTGTAATAATCAGAAGCAGACCTGTGGGACACGATCAACATTATAGTTTTTCTTTCAAAACCACAATATGAATTAAATATGCACTTTGATGCATGAAATATTAGATGTGCATTAAATGGTTTAATAGATCTTGAAACGACCTGGTTGAAATAGTCAATAACTGAGCATTTGCAATTAAAGAGAGAGAAAGAGAGAAAGAGAGAGAGAGGAGAAAAGAGAGAGGGGGAGAGAGAGTGTGAGAGTGAGAAAAATAAATGATGAAGAAAAACCTAAGCTCATTATAATTTAAAAAGTATTAACCTGACAGTACTGTTGATAAATTTCCATTGATTCAAGACTGGTTGTGCACGGTTGAATTGGCTGTGCTCAAAAGAGGGTTGATGAAGAAATTCAATAAAAAATTAAGAATACAATGGAACAACCAATAAACAGGAAAACCAACAAACAAACAGATAATTGAATCACCACCTTAAAAAACATAAATTAATAAAGTGGTTATTCATTTAATTAATTAATTAACTAGCTAATGAGTTAATAAGGTATTCATAATGGAATTCATAATTCACATTCATAAGGTATTCAAATTCATAATAAGGTATTAATAAGATCCTTCAATCAGCAAAGTTGAACTTTCCATCAACGAGTGAATCAATTAAGAAGCATAAAAATAACGAACTAACCTTTAAGTGGACAGGAAATTTGTAGTTCAGCGTTGAGTTAAAGTCTTCCCCTGAAAAACTTGCCTGAACTTGAAAATAATTTTGTAAATATAAACATATTTCAGCAGCGAACTCGATGGTTGAAATAAAAAGTTAAAAGGCATAGCGACTAATTTAGTTGTATCATCTACAAAAAACCACATCCCAGTCAACTGGATATGATTATAACCAGCTACTTTTTCGTTCTTTCAGATAATAGATCTTCACACATAACACTGAAAGATTATAGTGAATTAATTCAAATGACGAACCTGGATCGAAAGCAGCTGACGGCTGTTGGAATTGGTAAGAAGCATTTTTTGCACCGCTACTTCCAACACCAATATTACTATTATTGCTACTACTACCAACAATATTACTAATACCGCCACTAATGTTACTACTGCTACTACTATTACAATCGGCAGCTATGCTCCTAGCAGCCACAGGTGAAGCAATAGAAGCGGATGCACCCGAAGCAATGTTGCTGACTTGGGATGAGAAGGTGTTAGCGTCATGAGTTGCTTTACCGTTAACAAGATTGCTGTTATTTACATTGTTGTTGCTGCTGCTGATGATGTTGTTGTTGATGATGTTGTTGTTGTTGATGATGCTGCTGTTGTTGTTGATGCTGTTGTTGTTGTTGATGCTGTTGCTGTTGATGCTGTTGTTGTTGATGATGTTGTTGTTGTTGATGCTGTTGTTGTTGCTGTTGTTGTTGTTGTTGATGCTGTTGTTGACAATACTGTTGTTGTTGACGCTGTTGTTGTTGCTTTGTGTGGTAGTTGTTGATGTTGTTGAAGCGATTGACGATGCATCTGTCAATACCTGTTACAAGTTGAATATTGCAACAATGCAGTTTGAAAAAGTTACTATTAACAAAATGTGAAAAATTTGAAAAGCGAGACATGAATTATTTAATTTCGTTTAATAGCTCCTCTAACCTTGATGGAATCTTCTACACTGAGATCATTATCAGGAGTCTCTCTTATAACAAGAAGATCATTACTATCACTATTTACATCATCCTTATCATCGTCGTCATCATTGTCGTTATTAACATCATCATCGTCATCATCGTTAGCACATTTCTTGTTATTCACATTAACGTTGCACTGAACATTATAATTGTTATTGGTGTTATTGGTGTTATTGATGTTATTGTTGTTATTGGTGACGTTGATCTTATCGGAGTTTTTGATTTTTTCGTTCAGCAAGCCCATGAGCAGGAAATCATCAACTGACTTCAGGTTGCTCTGCCCGTTCGTCCTGTGACTCATCTGGTTGTCGATGGAGGACATCGTCTCCATGACCACGTCGTTGTCCTCATCTTCGTCGTCGTAGTTGCGAACTGAATGGACGGCAGTGATCCATCAATGATAATAATTACAAAATCAACAACAAACGCAGAAATTGCAACGATGCAACGAATTAAGCAACAACAACAACAACAGTTGAAATAATGTTTGTGTTAAGGATATTAACTCGAACAACAGAACTGACGAGTGGGAAAGAGAAATAAATCTAACAAGCATGATCAATTGTGTACTGTATGGGCTCCTCTGCTGGGGGGAAGAACTGTTGTGAAGAGTATTTCAACTATCCTCAATCAATATTTTATTAGAATCATCACTTTGTTTTCATGCAGTATGTTAAACAAGTGAAGCACAGCAAGAGTGGTATCTAGGCCCAATCATTTTCATGAAAAAAAACTTAATCATTTTTATAAAAAAATTTTTTTAATAAAAATGTTGTTGTCGAAAAGCTGATCCAACCAAAAAATGAAAAAAAACTGAATGTGCAAACTTTCGTTAAGAACTCAATTTAATAAATTAATTAACTAACTAACTGAATAATTGTTTAATTAACTAGTTAATTAATTAATTAAATAATTAATTGATTAGTTAATTAACTAAGTAATTAAAAAGTTTTCATTTTTTTAAACAATTTAACCCAAAAAACTTGAATAATTTTCCAACTTCCTCAAGTAACTAAAAATTTTTGTTATTTTCATCCTGTGACATGATCAACGAAAGTGATCATGTGACACGTCCAACTACTTTGCAAATGAGGAGAGCCAACAACAAAACAGCAGCAATCACTATAAACTAATGCGATAAGGAAACTAACGCTGATCCTCTAGAGTCAC